TGCAGCAGGCTGGTCGTCCTGGTGATGGGGATGATGATGATGGTGGGGGGGGGGGAGGAGGTCTGTTTGGTATTCAGGTGCTGCGGCAGGCAGGCAGATCCCAGACGAGGCAGTGCAGGCGCTGCTATTTTTACTCCGCCTGCTGCTTTTTTTAGACCCTCGGAATAGTGAGCAGGCAGGGGCTGCTCTACTGCTGCTGAGGAGGGAGGGAAGGGAGGGAGGGAGAAAAGGCTGGGGGATGTCAATATCTCTGGTGATGTGCAGCACTAAGCGTGGCAGAGATGTGGCGCCCCCGTCAGGACGCTTCAGAGCAGGCAGGGTGGAGCAGCTCTGAGGAGAAAGAACGGGGAGAACTGGGATCAGAGCGTTGGTGCTGGGAAGGAATGAGAGGCCACACACACACACACACACACACACACACACGCCCCTCCCTTACCCTTCCTGCCTCTCTCTCCCATACAGCTAGTGTGTGTTTCTGTGTCTCTATATTTTGCTTTTTATTTCACTCTACAGCACCATCATCTTCAAAGCATGTTGTTCTCAAGTCAAATTTCTCTCACAATCTCCCTCCATTTCTGGGTGCTGGGAATGAATGAGAGGACACACACACACACACACACACACACACACGTAATATGTTCACACACACTCCTCTTACCCAGTTCTGCAATGTAACAAACTAAATTTACTCAAGTATTCGACCATTTTGACACCCTTGTCGTTTGCTTGAGTATTTCCATAATACAGTATGCTATATATATATATATATATATATATATATATATATATATATATATAATTGTAATCTATTACATTTTAGGTGTTAATATTGTACCTGTTACTGTAAGTAATAATGCTTCTGTATTTCTACTTCAGTTACATTTCCAATTCAGGAATACTAGTAACGCAGAATTGTAAGACTGTTTTCTTTTCTACTTTCACTCAGGACTTTCACTCCACCTCTAGTCTTCCTCGCCCTCTACAGAATCATCTTATTTTTGTATTATTGCACACTTCACTCTCATTTGCCCCATCAACACGCTTTCCTTTGTTGTGTGTGTCTCTGAGCGTCAGTAGCGGTGCTCTCAGTCACGTGCTTGCTTGCGTAGATGCTTTTGTTACATTACGTGTGAGAGAGCGTGTCACAGCTGTAATGTGTTGCTAACGTGAGGGAAATGAAGTCCTGCTGGGAGCACCGGGGAGTTTGTTTGTGACTGAACTGAACAATGCTATTTCTGGACACTGTGTTCAGTCTGGAGACTTTAATAGGTTTCTTTCTTTATTTTACATGTCCTCATATTCACTGTATGTAGCCTCCAGTGTAGGATTTTATTTCCTCATGTATTTAGTGTGCAGTGTAGGATTACACTACCTTTCACGTGTAAAGTGTACAAGCAGCATCACATTTATGTTTGACATATTTCAGGTTAGCTGATATTCTCCATATCCATTATTAAATGTTACTTGGTTAGAATATTTGCTTCTTTGAGTATTTGTTGCACTGACGATGGATGAACTTAAAAGGAACTGTCTTGGGAGTCCAGAGGGGGGGGTGGAGGGGTTATTCTCAAAACATACCTGCCGCCCAGGTTCCAAGAGTACAAAAAGTATACATTTGACATACTTCAAATGTACTATTATTTTTAGTAGATCAAAAATATGTTGCTTCTGTTAAAATGAAAGTAGTGCATTACATTACATGTCATTTGTTAGACGCTTTTATCCAAAGCGACTTACATTCATTCAGTACTGTGGACAATCCCCACAGGAGCAATTTGGGGTGAAGTGTCTTGCCCAGGGACACAACGACATGCTGACTGCAGTGGGACTCGAACTTGCTACCCCCTGATTCAAAGTCCAGCACACTCCCCACTGAGCCACAGCCTCCCTAGTTCGAGAGCAAAGCTAGAAATATGTCTTATTTAGATATAGGGGCACATTCTGATGGCAAGTCCTATATTTAGTATGTATTCTTATATAATGAAATAGTCTCTTTTAAGATCTACAATGTGTAGGTTTTGATTTGCTGCAGACTTTGCTAATAAGAGGGTTTTAACTTGTTGAGGGTTAGTGAACCTGTTTGAGTACACTTGTATCTGTTTTCTTTGTGACAGTAATCGATCGTACCATAAAGTGAGAAGAATGAAGTTAAGATGGCACTTGGCACACGGTATGTTATTTTCCGTCACATTTAGAGTTCAAACGGTCATGTGTTTTGGAGCATGACACGTTCTTGCGCTTCTCCTCTACCAGGTTAAAGTTCACAGGCCTATGCTATACGTGCATTTTGAACACATACTTTCACACGGATGCACCTGACACTCAGTCATGCGAGGGGAGCAACATCCCAGGTGCTTTTCTTTAGGGTGTTTTTACAGTCCTGTATGACGGGAATGTGGTCGGTGCCCTGAGGCTCCTCGTTGGGTTTTATGGTTTCATTTTTATGGACGGTACTTTTCAACTGTCATTGTCATAACTTCCTCGAAGGCATTGGAGGCCTCGGTGTGATGAAATGTTCCTTTCTTTCTCCTGTTGGTACAAAATGTCTCCGAAGAGGCTGTTGTGATGTTACCATCGACTCAAGCTTCCTTGTAACTCCAGTCGTCTTAATTTTCATGCTCTTACAGTAACTCTCTTAATAATCCTTTTATTCCTTCAATAGTCATCAGATAAACTCACATTTTGCGTGATTGTCACCAAAAAAAAGAACCGCATTTTACAGATCCTGCAATTTTGAGGATATATAAGATGAATACAGACTATCATACTATTTGATGTTCGCGTGATATAGATTTGACTTTGTTGTTGACGCTGTAACTAATGAAGCAAATAAGCCTTGTTCACTTCACTTGATTATATCGTCATGCTCCTTTCTCTCTTAATAATCATTTTATTCCTTCAATAGTCATCAGATAAACTCACATTTTGCACGATTGTCACCAAAAAAGAAGCGTATTTGACCGATCCTGGCAATTGTGAGAACACATATATAACATGTCTACAGACCATCATCCTATAGAGATGTGACTTTGTGTAGCTCTTGAAGCCAATAAGCCTTGTTCACTTCACTTGATTATATTGGAAGAAGCTGATTTTGATGTCGAGGTGGTTGTTGTCTTCCCCCCCCCCCCCCCCCCCTCAGCCATTTTACTTCACAGCGCTGCATCCTCCTCCCCCCTCTCCCCCTCCTGCATCTGCAGCGAGACCCTGAGTTGGTACAGCCCGCGCCCATTGAGGCTTTTCTGCCACGGAGCGTTTCATTCTTAACATGGGGGGGGGGGGGGGGAGGTTTAAAAATAACCAGGGTTTCTGCTCTCTTTTCACTTTTGACTTTGTGCTCCCCTCTTCTTCTCCCCCTCTTCATCTTCCTCTCTCCCCCTCTTCATCTTCCTCTCTTCCCCTCCACCACCATCCCTATTCTGTCTCCTTTCTCATTCGCTCTCTTGCTTCGCTCCAGTTCTATTTTTAGCCGCCCCTAGGATCCCTCCTCACCCATCCTCCCTACCCCACTTCACCCTCCTCCTTTCTCCCGCTCAATGTTCGTCATCACTCCCTCCTCCCCCTCCTCCCTGCGTCCCCCCCCCCCCTCTCTCATCTTGTCTCTTTTTGCTGCTCTTTGCCAGAGAATGTCCTCTACGTCTATTAATCTTTCATCAAGCCTTGCTAATAATATATTCATGATGCGTGTGTGTGTGTGTATTTGTGAGTACCCCCAATCCCTCCTCACCACCTTCACCCCCTTTTTGTCTTCCTTCTCTTCCCCTTTCCATCCTTTCTTCCTCCGTCATTTAAGAAGGAGCTGGGGTTGATGGGCAGTGAGTGTTTAAAAATAGCTCTGCTTGCTTGACAAGGTGAGGATCTCTGAACACTGGAAGTACATCAGCTCCCTCTCTCGGTCTCCCCGACATTCGACCACTCTTTTGTTGTGCTTTTATTCCATCTTTTCCCTGATTTCTGCCCAAATTGCTCAGTTTTTTTACGCCATTCTCTGTCCTCTTTTTGTATAAACTGCAGATACGCTAGAGTATCAGTCGGATAAACCTGATCTTGAGGATCATATCGTCTTGTCCTCATACATTACATGTCATTTGTTAGACGCTTTTATCCAAAACAACTTGCATACTCAATACTGTGGGCAATCCCCACAGGAGCAATTTGGGGTGAAGTGTCTTGCCCAGGGACACAACGACATGTTGACTGCAGTGGGGTTTGAACCTGGTACCCCCTGAATCGAAGTCCAGCACACTATCCAATGAGCCACAGCCGACCTGCCGGTGTTCATATACCTCCTATCTTTATTATCTTGGCTTGTTTTTATATTCATATCTGCTCCAAAAATCCATCTTCACACTCCCTATTTCTGCTTGAAAATGGACACCTTCATCCAAAATAAACATTGCTTGACAACATTGAGTTGTCATGTAAGAGCTTAGAAAGAGGCTTTTCCTAAATAGCAGTTTAATTGTACTTTAAGGTGTGGCTGATAATAGATGTACCGCTTGTAAGGTGTTCTTATACCTGTCTCGTCGTCACCTGTGAACAGCCCCGGGCTTAACTCCACGTCGGGACTCTTGAGTTGTTATTATTGAGAATACTTAAAGTGGTCTAACCTGATGTGTGAAGGTGTGTCGGTGTGTCGTAAGCCTGTGAACAATGAGGACCATATTTGTGAGGTTCATTTTTACTGTCAAGGAGATCAAAGATAACGCAAGCGGTGAAAGAATGATAAACGGTGGATGGAGAAAGTGCGTGACTGACAGTGAAATGCTGATCGTGTCATTTGACAGGTTTGGAGAACATGGATCCAAAACGCTAGTGAAATCATAGTCTCGATAATTCATTATCAAGGATTATGAACTGGTTTGTTCAACGTTTGGGGATTTTTAAGAGCATCTACTCCCTTGTTAGTTGAATAGAGTCCACCTCTGACCTGCTACCTATGTATGATTATTGTAAAAAAAGAGAAACAAAACTAACATATCTTTCTTTTCTGTCTCCAGTTGTGACGGGCGCCACTGATGGAATCGGGAAATCCTATGCGGAGGAGGTGAGGCTCCCGGGCCCTTATTTATTTAATTTCTATCAAGGCATAGCTGTGACTCATATACACACACACACACAGACACACACACACACACACACACGGTGTTCACTCATAGGCCACGGTAGGGGAGAGCTCTTACAGACCTATTAGCGTGGAAGAGAGTCCTCACACACAAACACATATGCACTTCAATACAGGTTCGTCAACGAGAGCTCATATTGAGGTAACAAGCACACGTTGGATCTGGGCTACCCTGCCTCGTGTCGACCCAAACTGCTGTGTGTGTGTGCTGGCTGTATAATGTAGTCATGTAGGGCCTTTGACTCATACTGTTGCTGTTGGCAGCTACACTGGGTCTAGCTGCTTGTCACGCAACGCTAGGCCGCCATTTTACCCAGTGTATTATGCTTGTGTTAGTTTTTATACAGAAATCCACCACTTGAATTAATGAAAGTAAAACATCTAAATAGCAGAAGCTGATGTGTATACTGCGCAGAGCATCATGCTCACACACAAAGATCCTGGCTGAAGAAACTCATGTGTTTTCAGTCTTTGTATATCCATGGTACCTGGTCATAGTTGGACACACATTAAGGGAAATGATGTCTAAGTTGAGGCCAAAGCTCTCAGGAACTTTTAGCCACAATGGAGTTTTTTTCTTAAAGCATGCCTCCATTACATTTAGCACATGCAGGTGGAGATACATGATCAATCTAAAGACACTGAATACATTTGGATGTTCTGCACGCATTGTTCTCCCGCTGATCAAATCAAGAGTTAAAGCATACTTATCACAAGTTGAGGAATAAAACTTAACTCATACATTTTAGAGACTTGATATGTTAAATGAAACTGACAAGACAGTGATTTCTAGGCACTGATATTCCAGATTTTCTGTCCCTTTTGCTGCCATCAGTGGTTTCAATTTACATGAAATTGTCCACCTATATATTAAATGCATTCGTTATTAACGTACTGTATTTCTCTTTCCAGCTGGCTCGCCGTGGATTTGCCTTGATGTTGATCAGTCGCTCCCAGGACAAGCTGGATGACGTGGCCAGGTTACTAAGTAAGTGTTTGTTTTTTTGTTGGTCTGCACAACATCATGGAAACCCATTTGGTGTAAGAGCACAGTGAGTGGGCTGCTGAGGATGCGTGTGTGTGTGGACAGGATGTGTGTGTGTGTGTGTGTGGACGGGATGTGTGTTTGTGTGTGCGTGTGGACGGGATGTGACGCGCAACCTCCCACCCTGTCGACTACAGGGTTTCCAAGGCCCAGATAAGAGGGCCTCTATAGCCTTGACATAAGGATTTATAATGAAAACAAAAATGGGAAAATAATCGCTGCACTGTTTAAGGAAAAAAAAATCCAGGTTTGCATGAGTTTATTTTACATTGACTATGTAGTGTTGCAACAGGTGTGGATCGATTAGCTTCATATTTCAAAAACAAAAGTATTTGTTTGAGTAGATTTACCCTCAAGCTCCTTTGCATCTACCAAGTCGTGCCTCCATTCTGTAGAAGTCTTGTTGATTTGGAAACTTGCAGCTAACAAAGGCAGGCTGTGTCTAAGAACTTCCCCTCTATTGGTATGAAGGAAGACGGGTTAGATATCCGTCTTGATTTTGTAACGGACTCATTAAATAACCTGTTCCGTAAAAAACAAAACCATGCATTCCTCATTCAGATGTAAAATGAGCATCTGTGTAAAAGGCTACTCCAGGTTAAAACACAGTCTGAATGGTGAGTGTCCCCCCCCCCCCCCCCCCCCCCCCCCCCTGTTTAAATAGTGCCCTCTCCCTGACTCGCTCTCTTTCCATCTGTCTCTGACGTCTCCCACAGCGCAATTTCCCCTGTCGTGCTTCAAGTCCACAGAGGGGGCTGATGGGTAGTCACGAGCGGGATGCAATGTGCCAAACTCTGGCACTCCTCCCTCACGATTAGTGGGGGGAAAAAACCCGCCCTCCTTTGCATGGAACCGCATGAACCGCCCTGTCCCACCTATAATTAAATTAACAATAATGTTTTTCTCTCATGCAAATATGTGCATAGTTTAAATCACACATACCTGGCGACCCCAAAATGACACCAATTTGGAGCCTTAATATTTCTGCTTCTTTGCCACCATGTCCAAAGCTTATTATTTGATCTTGTTTTTTCCTTGCTTTAACCCAAAGAGGTTGTGATGTCTAAATATAATCTGAGCTGGATATAGATTTCAGGGAGGCTACCCACCCTACCCTTTATTTTGATTTGCATCTCTCAGGTCCCCCCTTTTTTTTCTCCCCCTAGTCTAAACTGAATATCCACTGACACACTGCTGGTCTTTGTCAAAGCAAATCAGAGGAATGTTCATCTTATAACTCCCTCTGCCACCCATCAGCTAAATGAGTCTTTGGACAATAAATTGTAATTGCAGCAGGCGCGTCAAACATGACGGCGGAGTTAAGGGGGGGGGGGGGTTGTTGCTCGGCTGGTTTGTTGGTATGCAGTGCCCTCTTCAGTTCAAGTCTCACGGTTACTGGTTTCATGTTTTCATTTGAAACGGGGGATTGCTCATGTCAGTCTGGCTGGTTTGTGACACATGAATGCATATGAGTGTAGGGTGAACGCTAGATTAATGAACATTACTGAGAGTTAGTTTTATCACTAAAATTGTAAAATGTAATTGTTGCCATGCATAGACTAAGCTTTACTGTGCTCCCCTCACTTGGAATAGCCTTAAAAAGTCTCCGAACAAAGTCAATTGGTCTCTTTTTATGGTGAACAAATCAAATGCTGCCTGTCACTGTGCATGTGTGATATGTTGGCTTGTTGTGTGTAACATTTGAATGCTGCTCTCCAGCCAAGGTAGCCTCATGACAGTTGTAGTTGATCTCAGCTGGCTTTACAAGGTTAAATAATGGTTAAATGGAAAAAATATATATCATTGTAACATTATAGTAAATGAAAATGTGTTTCTCCTTTCAGAGGAACAGTACAATGTGGAGACCGGGACCATTGCAGTGGACTTTGGCAGGAGTGACATCTACGAAAAGATCGAGGCGGGGCTAGCTGGACTAGAGATCGGTGTTCTTGGTAAGTTCTGATGTTTTGTTTTGATCCTTTTCTCTGCCAATTTTTACCTCGCACCTCGAAACTCATGCTTTTTATTGTTCTTCTTCAGTGAAGTTAACATACTCCAAGACCCTTTTGTAATGCAGACATAAGAGAGCAACACTGAAGAAGGCAAACATCACTTAAGGATATTTTTACATTCACTTGCCATGTGTTTAAGCAGCATTGTGTTCACAGCAGAAGCCCCCTAGCATTTATAATAGGACATTATTCATTTGGTTAAAGGTTGTTGTACCACACAAAGTTTTGCAGTTTGGCCTTATTTTTCTGCCTGGGTAACCTACCTTGAATTTCACTACATACTGCATCAGCCAGGTGAAATCTTACAAACACTTATTTTGGAAACTAACAGTGGTGATATTTGCGAATTCTCTCTGGAGTCATTTGATCACTTTTAAACTCCTGAGATTTAGATTCTTGAATCGACTTCTTTGTCTAGTTCTGCCTGACAGAAAACCTTGACTAATTTCTGAAGTCTGGTTAAATTATTCTTACGAAAGCCACGCGTTATCAGAGGATAAATACTACTTAAGAGACTTAACATAACCTCATGGTGTACGTTTTAACGATGCACTTATGTCAGCTGTTGTAGTATTTCTAGACGTCTACACCCAAGAGTTGACATCATACTTTTTTTTAGTCGAACATTTTAGGAACGCTTTGTTCTTTTGTATGATGCCAAATGTGGCCTACTGGTAAGGTGTGGCTGTGTGGACTAGGAAAGTCTTGTTTGCTTTTGCTTCCACCTTGTGGTTAATTTCTGAGCTTTCTTCAGCATCCAAGTTGTTTTGGAAAAGATAGTATAACTTATTTTTTTTCCTCTTTTTATTTTCAACAGTGAACAATGTTGGTGTTTCCTACGACTACCCCGAGTATTACCTCAATATTCCTGATCTGGACAATGTGAGTTTTATTTTAATTGTATTAATTATGATTTAAAATGGAAATGCTGCTAGTTAAAAGTGCACTCTGTCCTTTTTTTAAACGCAAAGAGAATACCGGTTTTCTTCGTCTTAAGCCTCAACATTCTAGCTATAATTAATGCAATGAATATCCAAATAATGTGCTTCCTTTTATATCTTTTTAAGTTCTTTACTGTTCTAATCTGTGTGAGTGTTTAGCTGACTGGTGCTTTCTGTTACAGTTCATCACAAACATGGTCAACGTCAACATAACTTCAGTCTGCCAGGTGAGTTTGTTGTCAAACGTCTTCGCATATCGCTGCTCTTCAGGAAGAATATTTTCAGTTCTGATTTCCAACTACATAATCATATGAACTGTTTTTAAAGTTTCCCATGCATATCACTTTCCTGCTCACTTTTCCCCCTTTTGTTCTCCTCTTCTTCTTCCTCCTCCTCCTCCTCTTCTGCTGTTTCTTCACGGTACCTGCAGTGTCTCAGTTGTTCCCAAAGCAACGGTGGACTACACCAACGCTGTCTGTACTCGCCACCCACGCAACTCTCTCTCTGCCTGTCTCTCTCTCTCTCTCCTTATAACTTCTAGTCTTTTATTAAATAAAACTCTTTCCTCTCCTTCATGAGTTGTATCATTGTTTTTGACTGCTGATTCTGAATGAGCCTGTTGTTGTTTCCTCAGATGACCCGCCTGGTGCTGCCCAGGATGGCCGAGAGGTGAGTTCAATGATGGGCCTCCATGTTCTGCGACATGACTGCAGTCAAATAGTTGTTGTTAAATGAGGGATTGTAACACAAAAGCTACACAAGAAATCTTGAAATTAAACATTTTTTCCAAGAAAAGTATTTGGAAGATTACACTTTATATAAAACCAGTAAGAGCATAAGAAATCCTCTCCTAGCCCTTTCCATCCCTGCATCTCTCCTCTCCTCCTTTGTTCACAATGCTGACAAGCTTTCAATTCACACAAAGTGCTCTTCCCACCCGATTGGCTGCGCTGCTCCCATGTGACTCCTGTCGGCCAATCGCAGCGCAGCACATTTGGTGCCGTGTGAGGCTGGAGCGTCGCTCCACTACATCACTGCAGCAACAGGCTGCCATGGCAACACACACGGCCACTACCACACTGTTTTAGTGTGTGTGTGGAACATCACTTTGTGTGTGTTTGTAAGCGTGTGTGTGCTTGATTTGTATAGATGCAGGGTTTCCACTGGCATGGAAAATCTTTCTAAAAGTTTATGGATTTGAAAAAAAAAAGGACTTCTGAAAATCGGTGTATTGCAAAGGAGGAACTCCATGTACATTTGTTTATGGCAGCTGTGTTGAAATGGAGGATTTTCAGCAGGCTTTCTTAATTCGACAATATTCCCAAATATGTGCACAATTCTGACTGATGCCATCTCGTAAAACATTCAATTTGACAGTCCTTGCAATGTGCCTGTTGCAGTGCTACTCTTAGCCTTACAATAAAGCAACGTCCTTGTCCTAAATCAACCTTGTTGTGTTCCTCAGGTCCAAAGGAGTCGTCCTGAACATCTCCTCTGCCAGCGGCATGTATCCCCTCGCTCTGCTCACCGTCTACTCTTCCACAAAGGTATGGAAACATCTCTGCTTCTGTCATTTATAAGAATTTGTGTCAGTATCTTGTTCGTTTCATGATGCCGACCCTTCCTCATGTTGCCTAATTTGAAAGCTGTGATGACAAACAACATTTTACAGACTGGTGTGTTTTAAATGTATCCTCCTTTCATCGTTCTGGTTGCAGGCCTTTGTGGATTTCTTCTCTCGTGGCCTTCAGGAAGAGTACAGGCGTCGGGGCATCATCATCCAGGTGAGATTGAGTTTGGCCAAATGGCATTAATCTCCTCCACCTTTAGCAAAAGAATGTGAAGACACTTACAGTTATTTGGCTATTCTTGAGCCTGATGGATGCCAGAAAGAGAACTGCTTAACAAAATGGTTTCTTGCTTACTTTGGGATACAGTAGAACAAAGCATACCATTGTTTTTATAGAAATTGAATACACCCGGAAAAAGCATCTAAGATTTGTCCATCTGATGACCCCCGATTGAATTGCCTCACATATTTACCTCAAAAGAATCCGTTTGCTCTCAGCCAGTCCTGCCTGAAGTGTAATTCAATCAAAACACATTCATGTAGATGCATTTATACCGCAGAGGTATTTTTGAATTTGATGTTCCACATGAGGCTTGTTTGTTCTGTTTTTAGCTCCTGTGTAGTATTCTCATGTGCCACCTGGTGGTTAAAGTGTTTACAGCAGTTTCACCTCAGCAAACCCTGAGGGTGTTCTCACCTGATAACCCAAGTCATCACACAAACCTACAGAAAATATATTATGTCATTTTTAAAAGTGCCTCTTATACCACCATTGGTCCCGAATACCCCTGGTTGGACTTTTTCTGGTAGTGTGGACTCTCTCGTTTTAAGGGCTTTTATCTGAGGGTATCTCACACTTTCCCTTTGTCCTCATGCAGAGTGTGCTGCCCTTCTTCGTGATGACCAAAATGACTCGCATCAGGAAGCCCACCCTGGACAAACCCACCCCCGACCGCTATGTGCTGGCTGAGCTCGCCACTGTGGGTCTGCAGAGCCAAACCAATGGATATTTCCCTCATGCCGTCATGGTAAGAACTGGAAACCTTTATATTGAAATGCTCAACCTATCCAAGTAGACATTAAGTAAACATTAATGTAGGTGGTTGGTTGCACTGTATGTATTTATGTCTTGCACCATAATGCACATACGTTGGACTCGCACTTCCAAATGGACATATTTGACATATCCATAATCATCCAAATGTAAAACATATACGGTTACTTTCATTTTGATTTCTTACATTTTATGTTTTATTATCCTCGTGTGAACCCTTGCCTGTTTCACTCTTATTGTACTTGTTGCTGTGACAAGCAACTTATCTTAGTTATTGTCAGACTTGAAACTAAACTTTCTTGCTCAGTAGTTGATTTATTCCCCATTATTTGATTGATACATTTTATTTTGAACAAAACAAATGTTGCAGTGCATAGTCATGTAAGAGAAATCAAAACAAAAAAAATGACATTTACAACAACAGCATTAGCAACATAAACAGTCCCACATCTAGTGTTCGAAAAGGAGTGAGAAGAAGTATCATTTATTTAATCTCACCCCCTTGTCCCTAAATGATTTATTTATAATCTGCAATAATTATCATTATTATTGTTATTATGAATCTGCTTTACCTGTTGATTGACATATATACACATATGTACATACACACATACATACATATATGCACACCTACATATACACATACACATAGTCAAACGCCTTCCCCATCCCTGTACCTGGAGAAAATAATGTCTCTGTATTTCCTCTTGACCTGGTTAATGTCTGGACATCGCTTTAGCTCCACATTCACACTGTTCCATAGTCTCACTCCACAGGCTGAGATACAAAATGTTCTTCTGGTTCCCCATTAGCACTTTAATGTAAAATATATTCAGTTGAAATGCATTTCTAGGGTACATCCAGGATGCTGGTCTTAATAAAACAATTAATATAACTCAACAACTTAATAAAAGTTGTTAATACTGTGAAATATTTGACATAGAAGCATTGCTATGCCTTCAATTTGTGATTTGCTAACGACTAAACTTTAGCTGTGGTGCGAATGACAAAACCTTGAACCTATTATGTATAACTTGCTTAACCCTCATATTGTCTTCGTTTCCCCCCCCCCTTACTTTGGTGTTCGCAGTCAAATTTGACCGGTCCTGTTTTAACTGCTATTACATTAACACAAAAACAATTAATCATCACCAAATTTCATTTAACACCTTTTCAAACTGTAAATATTGTATCAGACTACTGGTATACATGAACGACTGCAGTAAATATACAAAGAATAGACACTGAACATGTATTGCGTGTGCCAGGTGTGATCCATGTGGGGGGATGGGCACATAAGAGCGGGAAATGTGTGTTTGTGAGTGCCAGGTGTGATTCACATGGGGGGGATTGGGCACATAAGGGGGGGGAACACATCTAGATTATGTGTGCGTGTGTGTCTGTGTGTGTGTTTTATCTGATCCGGATGGTTACTAATTCCTTTTCTTTATGGCGGTCATTTTTGACCGGGAACACCATGGGTGTTACAAAGTTGACTAAATCATCCAAAATTCAATGAAAGTGGTGATCAGCAATTGCACATGTTCAAATGTCTACTGTGAAGGATATCATAAAGCCTTAATGCAATCGAATGTAAAACAAAAAAGTTATGATGTAAATCGGTCAGATTTGACCCGAAGACAACAGGAGGGTTAAACACTGTTTTTTCATGCTTAAAAATGTGTATAATTGATATAAAACCTACCTTTTCTAATATGTCCTGTAAAAGGTTTTCATTCATCTTTCCGTTTCCATTTAAAGAGGACATCCTGAAAGCTGTAGTTTAACCCACAATCCTTTTTTATGTTTCTTTCCTCCCAGGGCTGGCTGACTACCAAGCTGGTGCCGATCGACCTGGTCATCTTCTTTGGAGCAAGGATGAACCGTCTGCAGCGCACCGGGTACCTGAAGAGGAGGAAGATGAGGGAGCTGAAGAACGGAGACGCTCTGAAGAACGGAGACGCTCTGAAGAACGATTAGGAAGACGGCTGATGAATCTGTGGACGCCACTCTGTGCTGACCCGGTGCAGCGTTAAAGGAGAGATTGTGATTTTTGGATCTGTATGGTGAATCCTCCAGGGTTGCCTGAGTTTCACATGTGTGCCTTCAGTCAAATGTGCTCGGCAAAGCGTGTGTAAGACTTTGCGTTTGAACGGTAAACTATTCCCTGATGTTGTTTTGTCTAAAGAGAAATGGTCAAAGAAGGCAGAAGTTAAAATGTAATGCTGCTCTTGGCAAAGGAGATTAATCCATATTGTCAATGACACTAATGGTGAATATAATACAACCACAAATTAATGAGGGATTTGTTAACCCTGCTGTTGTAAGCAGTGTAACATGGTGGCGGGCATCTTTTTATATGTATGTATAATTATTTATTTCATATTTGTATGAACGCACGAGCCAAACTGAGACCTTTTTTTAGAGTTTATCTTTCAACCTTGTCCTGTTTACAATTCATTTAGCCATTTAAAGATGGCCACATCTGCGTTCTGTCAGTTCTCTTGCAATACTGAACTGCTATCATCATGCATCGGCTCTTTCATAATATTGCGTGTTTGCATTATATTTAAAATGTTGCTTTTGTGGTGGGTTGCTGTCACACCAACGTGTCACTTGCTCTAAACCAAAGTCTTTCACAATAACAGCAGCATTAATCCGAAGTGCCTTTTTCTTATGACGAAAATGCTGAAAATGGTCAAATTTAATGAGAGGGTGTTGAATGGTTAAAATGTATTATTATGAAAGGATGTAATTCAACTGGTATGATGTCTAATGTGAACTAAACAGTTGCTCCGTTTTGTGCCTTTTTAATTGAAATGTAAACCTTTAGCCAAAGAAGGAAAACCTCTTAACCGACTCAGTGTAGAGCAAATATCCTTCCAGTTGAAGTAAAACCTAAAGTGTGAATGTTTTACATCATTGGCTACAGTCTGGTTCACATACTAAGACATGTTTGCTTCAGAAACAGGACGACTGCGCCTCTTTACTCAGTTGATGTGTGTGTAAGTGAAAACCCCGTATGAATTGGTCTGACCATTGCCTTAACTAAGCGGTTATGTGAATGCTTTTCCTTTTTGTAACGAGTCTTTTATATATGCTTCTAAATAAAAACAATTGAATTTCTACATGTAAAGTGCAGTGGCAACTAATGTTTTCAACATGTTTATTAATAAAAGCTCTGGCACAAAGCAAAGGGTTGTGTATTGGAAGGTCTCAATGCTTCCTCTTGAATACCTTATAGCACATGTGTCAAACTCAAGGCCCGGGGGCCAAATCAGGCCTTTGGTGGATTTAATTTCGGCCCGCAGGATAATTTTGAATTACTATATATTAGATCTGGCCCGCCGGTATATTGCACGCACACCTTCACTCAATCCTGAGGGTCTCCTTAGCTCAGAGCCTGACCCCAAACATTGATGAACTTGCACCCAAGATGAGATGCCAAGTGTCTGGTTTGAACTAGCATCACAGAGCAGCAAACTGAGTTTACATGGATGTTTCCTTCTGCACTTCTGACATTTTTTTTGAAGCTGTTGTTGACCTCTGGAAAAATGTAATCATAAGAAATGACTCTGGAAAAGCTGCAGATAGAGCCATAAGAATTGAATGCAACTGATTATTTAATGTTGTTTCTTTAGGCAATCATTTAAGCTTTGTTAGTTCCAGGTTTAATATGTGTAATAAGTTCATTTCAATAAGTTCTGCAATAAACATTGAACCAGTCCGGCCCTCCACTAGCACCGATTTTTAAATGTTGGCCCACTGTGTATTTGAGTTTGACACTCCTGCCTTATTGGACAAGATAAACCTTTATTGATACTTGAACGAAAATTCAGGAGTTTAAGCAGCAACTGAAATAAGGGTGAAACACAGGAAAGGACAGACATGTAAGAAATACAAATCATGAATAGAGAGATGTCCTTTATATTACATGTGAAAAAACAAACACAAGTTGCTTCTCTTTGATAGATATTCAGAAATCGTTAACCTATTCTGACATTTGAAAATCTTTGGTTTTATAAAATGGATAGACAATACAAATTATGACTATAAGTAAAATTAAGCATTGAACAAAAACGAATTCTGTTTTATGCATAAAAGATGATCAGCAATGTCTAAAACTACTTTCAAATGTTGACTAACAAAAAGGTGATATCTTTATAATATATATTTGTTTGTCTAGTTTGATAAATCCCTGGCTCGGTTGTTCTATTTAATTTGCCTACTTCTCCCCTTATACACAAAAAACATGTTATTTTGCTAAAATAAATGAGAGAAAGAATAAAATAAAAATGTAGCGGAACCTTACTACGCCTCTGTTCCGGGTAGGATTTATTTTTTTGTAACACAGTTAAATGGCTGCTTTCAACTGACGTCCTAGCTCATGTGGAGTTTCTCTTCTCTTTATAGGCTTTAGTGTTGCTTTTAGCAGCCTTTCTGGTAAGTAGTTTAAAGATTTGTTTTAACACAAGTTAGCCGGATATTAGTTTTTCATTCTGAAATGTGAAAAGTGTTTATTTTAATAACTATAAGCGGGTTTAGCTAACTAGCATGTTTCTCTTAACCTACCAGTCAGACTAGCTAGCAGTTAGCTTCAGAAATTAACGATAAAGTCATGGTATACATTTTGTTTTTGGTTATTTTTTGTCAACTTGCCACTGAAATGCAACTTAAGCAAAGCAGGTATCAGTACGTTAATTATGAAACAGTTACACCATCTCTGCATAATCTCTCAGGTTTAATACCAAGTACATTTTCATATACAACGAATTTTCTTTGTAATCTTGATGCACGATAATATTCACAGTAGGAGAAAAAAGTTAGAAATCTACAAAAAATGTAAAATAAGATGTGTAATATATACATTTCAGTTTTTAAATGAGAAAATACCTGTACAGTATTTGAAACAATTCATTTTGAAACATACCAAATGAATAAATAAGACACTTCAAAAAAGCAATCAATAAGTCATAGTATTTTGCCTCTAGTAAATCTTTTGCTGAACCTGTTGCAAGTCAAGTGAACATTCCTTTTCAGTAGCATGTATAATGTTCATAATCTAGCAAAAAGTCTTAGTTTCATCAGCAGATATTGGGGAGGTTGGTGTAAAAAAAAAAAACAACAAGACGAAAAGCAGATCCATAAAACTACATCAAAGATTGTGCAGTGAAATACAGAATAATGGGAAATAAGACTAATGAATGCCATTATAAAACATTTCAATACCTAAAATACTTGAGTTAGCATTACAAAACAGTACAAAACGAAAGCACTGCCTAAAATAAATCTAAAAAGTTAAAGGTCCCATGTCATGGCCATTTCTACTGATCATAATTCCATTGTTGAGGTCTACTAGAATAGATTTATATTGTGCAATTTTCCAAACTCACATTGGTTTCTCATACAGCATCTCTGTATAGTATGTGTATTCACTCTCTGTCCTAAACAGCTTGTTGGAGCTCCTGCCCCCCCTCCCTGTGAGCCCAGTGTGCTCTGATTGGTCAGCTCGCCCACTCTGTTCTGATGAGTCTACCAATATGGTCTACCACCGTTACAGCAGAACATCAGTGATTATGTGTTACAATGGCGTTTCTTAGCAACCAGAAAATGACACAAGTAATGACAAACAGATGAGAATGCTGCGTGCGGCTCGCTGCTGCGAGGAGCGGACAGTGTGAGCTGGGTTCATTTCCTGCTTGCTGCGTGGGGTCTGCGAGAAATCGCGAATGGACGCGGAAAGGGGAGGGGGGGGGGGGAGCTGAGGGGGCTGCAGCACCCCCATCTGCGAGGCTCCACTAGCACCCGCAAACCCCCCCCCCCACACCCCCAAACACGGCGCACCTACAGTGTAAGCGCGCCACAGTTTCGCCGCTGCGAGGCTCCACTAGCTCCCCCCCCTCCCCCCCCCCCCCCAGCGCGTCACAGTTTCGCCGCTGAGAGAGTGTGTGTGTGTGAGGAGCTCCACAGATTGGTCCATTTGGGTATGGGCACATCACTGTACCCAGAAAGAAAACAATGGAAAAAGATAAATGTCCAACGAGGCGTTCTGGGGCAGCACAGACAGGTCTTTTCTGTGTTAGAGTTTTACTCGCTACAGGGTGTACTTTGAGGGTTTGTGACTCTGCAGACCGTTTACATGCAGAAAGACCTTCATAACACACAAGGGGACGAGTAATAACCAGAAAAGCATGACATGGGACCTTTAAGAAAATATATTGTCATCATTTACTGTGACAGAGGAAATACTCCTTTATTTCCTCACGAAGCTTTGGGTTTTGTATTATATGTTGCTTTGGACAAATCTTGCACAGCACAGGTCTCCATATCTTTGGTTCATGGAGAATTTGTTTCCATGTTGAGGAAATCTTCTGTCTGTCACTCCCCAGATGTGATTTGATGTCGGATAAACGTCAGCGTGCCAGAGTCCAGGGCTCCTGGGCTAAACAACCGCCGAAACCCTCTGCTCCAAAGGGTAAGTTAAGAGTAGATGTAAATATGTTGTATTTGTAGTATATGTGACTCCCTCTGTCTGCTCCCGCCTGAATGAGAATATCAATATACATTTACTTCTACAAGACCTGGAGGCTGGATTTTCAGTCCATTTACCTGGCTGGTATGGAGCCGACATCTTCTTATATTTTGTTTTTTTCTAGTTGCAGTTCAGAACAACCAACAGCCCAAAAATGAAAACCCAGCCCCTACTTCTTGGGGTTGTGGCCCCCAGAAAACACCTAATACTTTTGAGTTTCATCAGCCCTCTAAGGTACATGGCAAACACAAAAGTCAACTTTGAATTTTTGGCCCAAATTGGTCATTTCAGTCTATTAGAACGTTTTTTAACAAAGTGCTTAATCTGTCTCTGTTCTGTCTTTTCTACATCACAGCCAGTTAGAGCTGTCCCACCAGAGAAGGTGATAGAGTAAGTGTTTTTATACAACCAAATCAAATGTGTTTCTGTCTCTTTCCTACTCATGTTTTTAGTACAACATGCACATGTTGGCTAACACTCATCATTTTGTATTTGACAGGCAGGCAGGTATTCATGAGATCAGCGATGGACCATCAGGAGTGTCCATGTGAGTACAGTGTATTGTTATAGTTAAAACATACTTTAAATCAAATGAAAAAGAGGTGAATACCAGTGTGATGAATGATATACATCTGTGATTGAGTTTTAAGTCCACTAGATGGCAGTAGCACCTTAAGAGAAAGTGTATAAAGGTCTTTGTGCATGTCATGGCTTAGGCTATGTTTTTTAAAAGTCTGAATATGTTGTAACATGTGCTTTACATATGGCCTGCTGAACAACATTTGATTTACTTTGAGATATTGTGCTTCTGCTTTTATTAAGATTTAAATACATAACGCCACCAAAAGAGCAAGGAAGGTTCATGGATATACAGTAGGAACCTCACAGTTAATAATCTGTAATACATTTGATGATCGTGGCCCTGGTTTATCATGTTTTGAGAGAAGAGCTTGTAAAAAAAAAAGTGTACATTGTACAACACGTACATTTTACAACTAAACTGAAACATAACGAAAACTACATTAATCACTCTGACAACTATCTTAAACTGAACTAAACCTTTTTTTAAAACGAATATAACCTTGATATCAGGACTAGGGATTTCTGATTGTGCCCTTTACCCACCATGGTCTCCCATTATGGACTTTCCAGCACAAACACTAAATAGAAAGTCAAAGTCAACTTTATTGTCAATCTTTCAGTTTGTGTGTACAGACAGAGAGATCAAAATACCATTTCCCACAATCCCAAATACAAAAATACAAATATATATAAAAATATGTATACAAATATATATATATATCCTATATATACACAATCAGCAGACACATTTATACATATGCACACATTAAGAAAAAAGCACAACAATCAATATATACAAAATAACAGTCACTTCAATATCTTTGGAAATGTACATCAGTGCAAGACTGTCCATACAGTGTGTGCTACCATTCACATTACCTTTTTGGGGTACTTAGCCTAAGAGTCATGGTGTTTCCCTCCGTCCAGACTGCGGCTGCTGTCCGGGTTTCTTCCCCCAGAGGAGGCAGACTGGATGTTCAGTAAACTGCTGGCAGAGCTGCCCTGGTCCCAGAAGACCAACTACAGACAGGGTGGGTACAGATAAGGATGAGTAGTAGTAGTAGTGTGTCGGGGGGGAAATGAGACACTGTGATGCACCCTCAGTGTAAACAGGGTTCCCCACTGCAGCTGGTGTCATGTTGGGTTCTAGTTTATTTCAGTGCTGGGCAATAGATCAACATTATATCGTGTTCGATTTTGGATATCGTAATGAGTGTTGTTTTCTCCTGGTTTTAAAAGCCTGCTGTAGACTAAGAGGATGTCATTTTCTCATTTGTATTATTTGTCTTTACCCGCAAAGTCTTTATATCCACATTTCTGAAGATCTTATTGAAACTCTCACATTGTAAATATCAGTCAACCGTGCAGAATTATGAGATTCAAGTCAGAATTTTGCTATTTTCAGTGTCTTATGTGGCCCTAATCCTCTTCCATTAGAACATTTCAATATTGATATTAAAGGGGACCTATCATGCAAAATGCACTTTTGTACGTCTTTTATACATGAATATGTATACAACTAAAGTCTCAACATTAGCTCCTTACCCCTTAAAATACTTGAACTGACAACTTCTCTATTTAGTGCTTAATCTCTAAAACAAACTGTCAGACAAGATGAACAAACTTACTTGAACTTTTATTCAAATATAGGATAAAACTCACCAAGTGTCAGAAAACACAACCCTCTCTATTTTCCTCCATACCCAAATCTCTAAAAAAGGGGCTGCAACGGATCTGATAAAAACTGATCCAGATTTGAACACTGTCCTGACGTCAGGACGGTGGCGCTACGGCTATTGGGCCAACTCCACCAATCAGGAGAAGACAGCCACGGCCATTGCCGTTCGAAAGCGCTGGAGACGCTGTAGTACATATGTCAGGCCTGTAGATGGTGCTGTTCTCACTGAATCAGCCCTTGCTAAAACAGAGCTAAAAAATGCCAAATTGAGCAAAATGAGGCATGATCTGTTTGGTATTTTGAAAAAAAAAAAGTATAAATATGCCTTATATAGGTATGGTCCTACACTATATTATTATAATATAGCATGATAGGTCCACTTTAATATATTTGGTAAATAATAGCGTGATATTTGAACTATTCCTCTTACTTATGTTTGAGACTTTTTTAGACGTATTGAAGATCAGAAAGCTACATACCCTCTACATTTTATAAAATATGTTACAACTGGATTTGTTTAGTGATAGTTTGTTTATCCAAGAAGGTACAGTAAATCTGTGATAGTGACAAAAACTGCAGACTCTTTGCACGTGTCTAAGTTGTGCAATGGCTTCCTTTCTCAAAACAGTTGGCCTTTTCCCTTTAAAAGGAAAGAATATCTCTCACTTTGTACCCAGACAGACTATTTACAGCGATAGTTAAGTTGCAGCCAGACTTTTCCTCAGAGTCAGACGTCCTCTTTCCCTCAGCTGGCTGTCGTCCATCTTGTGTGTTTCTCTGCGATAGCAAACAGCACGATAAAGAGCGAGGTAATCTCCGAACACAGATCATAAAGTTGAGTAATCTCAGTCCATCACTCCTGGGACTTTGTCAACAGAGTCCATGTGATGTTTGGGTTAAAGAAGAAGTGGAAAAAGGATGTTAACCCCCTCACCCGTTAACTCTCCTACGTCCTCTGTCACTTATCGTGATTTGTTGAAAAAAAAAAAAGACCTCTTGACTTTGTTTTTCCGACCATTACTCACGACTCTAAATTGGAATCCTTTGATTGAGTTTTGCTAATCTCTTCCCCTGATAGCATCTTGTAATGGAAAGAGTACGGCTTTTGAACATTGACAAATAATCACACACGGTATTAGCTCTGAATTATTCAGTGCCATAAAAAGTAATGGCTGTTTGGAGCAGTTTGTTTTGGTGGCACTGTGTTAGCGTACCAGAGAGCCGGCCAAAATACACTAATGGCAGAAGATTGGTTCCTGGAAGAGCTCTCGGTGTTCCCGGAGAAAGAGAGAACAACTGAGGAAGACAGAGAGAGAGAGAAACTGAAGCTCTCCTTGGGTTAGAAATATATTCTGGTGCAGAGGATGGTTGTACACATGTGTTAATGCCAGAAAGGAATTGGTACGTTCCCTACTGGGCTAGGGGAAATATAAGAAAATATAAAATGACCGGGCGAGAGAAAAAGGAGAGGAAACTGATCTGTGAAGCCACAAGATGGTCTTTTAATGGACAAAAGAAAAAGGGCTCACCAGCCAACTTGCAAAGTAAACTAAGATAAAACTAGAACACAAATATACACTGGAGCACATCTCCTAATAATTAACCAAACACAGGTCTCACACAGACAGAGACACCATGCTGCACACATGCAGCCAGAGGAGAAGGAGACAGCGACTGCAGCCTTCCTCAGGTCCTTTATGGAGGCCCTGATTGGGGATTGGGAGCACCTGGGGGAGAGGCTGCACCTGGAGACAATCAGGGGGAAAGAGAGAGAGAGACACACATGCACCCACTACGGCACGTAACAGGAATACATTCAGAAGAAACTTTGTCAGCTTTTGCCCTACTTATAGTTGTCATTTGGCAAAAACAAGATGTAGCAAGGAAAACAAATGGCTCCATTTGAAGTAGAAAGGCCTTGACCCAATTACTGATGCAATAAAGAGATGGATTGGACAACAAGTGTCCACAGCTGCCGTTCTCTTTGAGGCAGACCATTTTCAAAGTGTATTAAGGCTTTCAGTTGTTGAGTTTTTGACTTTTAAACGATAAGAGTGTCATGTTCATGGGCTGCGAAGTCAAATGCAATGATAACAACTTCACCAAATGTCAATAACATCAAATAAATGAATTACGGAAAGACCAGACAAAATCACGCTCTTATATTTATCAGTGGGTCATCTGCTGAAAGTGTAAAGTGTAAATTATTTGGCATACATCTCAGACTGCTTCAGAGTAAAGACAGCAGGGAAGTAATTCGCACAACTTCGTAACAATTGCACCAAACGCTGTAAAAAGAAAGCCCAAAACATCGTTAGTATTTTTATGCAAGACAGAAAAGCACAAGCATTTCATTGTATTTAAATACACATGACAATGAAGTTGGAACTTAACATGCATACCACCCGTTAGTCCTTTTGTAAATTCATCAGTAGATACATTTCAACCATTATAATCCTGAGATATCACCTTTAAGAGAAGATGACTTTAAGTCTGGATGTCGAGCAATGATACTTTTGAGTACTGACTAGTGTGTGTGTGTGTGTGTGTGTGTGTGTGTGTGTGTGTGTGTGTGTGTGTGTGTGTGTGTGTGTGTGTGTGTGTGTGTGTGTGTGTGTGTGGTGTGTGTGTGTGTGTGTGTGTGTGTGTGTGTGTGTGTGTGTGTGTGTGTGTGTGTGTGTGTGTGTGTGTGTGTGTGTGTGTGTGTGTGTGTGTGTGTGTGTCCAGGTGAGGGGTACGAGGAGCCCAGGCTGACCTGCTGGTTTGGAGAGTTGCCGTACACATACGCTCGCTCCACCATGGACGCTAACACACAGGTAGGACAAACTCAATTCACCTCCAAGGCTCCAAAACAAGCATTCATTTAATTATTTATTTTATTTTTGTATTTCTTAACTTTTTTCTACTGTTTTCTTTTTCACTTTTTTCGACAGTTCTGGACTGGTCGTTTTTTTTCACATTTTTCGATTGTCGTTTATTTCACTTTTTTCGACTGTCGTTTTTTTCACTTTTTTCGACTGTCATTTTTTTCACATTTTTCGATTGTCGTTTATTTCACTTTTTTCGACTGTCGTTTTTTTCACTTTTTTCTACTGTTCCGGACTTGTAATTTTTTTTATCATTTTTCCCAGCATAATTATTTTTTCCTTGCTTGGTTTTTTATTCTCTAATATAATTTTATTCATTGTATTTTTTTTTTAATTTCTTAGTTTATTTTCATTATTTATTATTATTATTATTATTATTATTATTCCCCCTCTCAGTGGCACCCCTTGCTATTGACGCTGCGCGGCGCCGTGCAGCAGGCGAGCGGCTGCAGCTTCAACTCTCTGCTCTGTAACTTGTATCGGAACTGCCACGACAGCATCGGCTGGCACAGTGACGACGAGGCCTCGCTGGGCAACAAGCCCACCATCGCCTCCCTCAGTCTGGGTGACACGCGAGTGTTCAGCCTCCGCAAACAGCCTGCACCGGTGAGATGATGGCAGACTGACAACAATGGTGTCCATTCTTACACTAGGACTAAGAAGTATTTGTTGTTTTGTTTTGCTTCTGAACACTGAAAGTCTTGGAATACTTTAACTATGCTGCTCTCACACTTCCTTGTATGATTGTTCTATATGTTTTCCTCATCCAACTACCAGTATTCATTAAAGAGGTCTCATATAATACTCCAGGACTCTCTTGAAAAATAGATTTTTAATCTCAATGAGACCCATCCTGGTTAAATATAGGTAAAATAACGAATACTAGTGTTTGGCGTTGTAAATCCTGCAGACACTCTTTTTGACCTTTTGCTGTTTTGTAGAGTTAGTATAGTGGTAACACTTTGCTTATAGACAAAGAGGGTATCCACTGCTACTTAATTAAGAAGAACTGCTGTGCAAAGCTTTTAAAAATCTAAATAAATGACCAAGGGTTACAGAGTGGAAAGCAGTTTCCAATGTGAGGTAGTGAAAAACTGGACACACAGAGAAAGGCTTAAGACAGGTATTGTGTTTACACTCAGCACAGGATTTATATTCCTGTGTTTAAAAGTTGTCTGTTATTTTTAGAGTTAAAGTATACACTTCTCAGGAGACAGGCTTTCTTTAGTCATGATGTAGAAGAGTTGTAGTAACATTTAGTTGTGAGGATGAGACTTCAAATTAGCTATTTGTTCGTCCTTTGTGCATTACCATGTGTTTTTAGTCATGTACATTGTACCAAATGTGTGTGTGTTAATAAACTCTTGATGTTTCATGTGTTAGGAGGAGAACGGCGACTACACCTATGTGGAGAGGATTCGGGTTCCTCTGAGTCACGGGACACTGCTGCTGATGGACGGAGCCACACAAGATGATTGGCAGGTAGGCTCCACCAATCAAATGCAAGGGGGCAAAATGGCCTCTCATAGAAGCCACTGGACACGGGGATGCATCAGAATCAGGTGGAACTGGAAGACCTCTTTAAAAGGGGTGTAACTTGTTTTGTTGTTCGCTTGCTTTTTGTTTTTTAACTTCTAGATAGATAGATAGATAGAATCGAAGGGATGAAATGGTCACACATGCAGAGCACACAGCACACACAGTGAAATGTGTTCACTGCTTTTAACCCATCCTAGTACCAGGAGTCTAGTACTAGGAGCAGTGGGCAGCTATTGTACAGCGCCCGGGGAGCAATGGGAGTGAGGGGGGAAGGGGGATGTCCGGTGCCTTGCTCAAGGGCACCACGGCAGGGCAGGAGGTGAACTGGGACCTCTCCAAGTAGCAGTCCACACTCCATATTTAGGTCTGGTCGGGGACTTGAACCGGCGACCCTACAGCTCACAGTCCAGAAGCCCCTACTGACTGAGCCACTGCCGGACATAAACCTAATCCTTCTAAACCTATATGTTGCTAAAAGGGAAGATAATGAAAATGGTATTTCTCCTATGAGGGTTTTTAGTATGCCAAAAATATTAACACAAATATGCAATTGTCAAAATGTTTTGCAGAACTTTTATTTTGGTCTTACACACCACATAGACCGGTTCTAAACATCTAAATTGTTGGCAAAAATGACTTTCCTGTTGACCATGATAGAATCCCTAGTAAATAATAACAACAACATTTAACTTTGGAAAGTTAATTATTTAAGTAATACTTTTATCTTCTTTGCAAAACCATTACAGAGATAAATGTGAGACTAAAAAAAAAGTAAACTTACATTATCTCATGTAACTTTAGAGATTTACACAGATTCAACAGTCGTCCCTGAAAGGTCAAGACTGCCTGCTCTGCATGTGTTTGTGTTATGCATTCGTGAATATGTATTTGTCTGTGTGTGTGTGTGTATATGTGGGTAAGTGTGTGTGTATATGTGGGTAAGCGTGTGTGTGTATATGTGGGTAAGTGTGTGTGAGGGTGATCGAGTGCATTGCCTTAACACATGTGAGAGAGTAGACCTGTGTTTAAGGCTCTCGTGTTCCTCCCCTGAACGACAGGCAGAAAGATGGATGAAGCGAGAATAACAGAGCTTCAGCATGATGACATGATGTAATTTGTTTTACAATCAGCTGCCAGGTTGATAAGAGTGCATGAAAACAAGGGAAAAGTCTTTCTGTGTTACAGAGAGCACGAGAGAGTAGCTGGTTTCTGTTGAAAATAAAGAGTTGATGGTGACACTTAGTTATATTATATTGATTTAATTAAATATTGATTTTGTGTTTTCACCGTTTAAAAGATTAGATGAAGACTCCTGTACTACTGTGACATTTTTACATGCTTTAATGTTCAAAAAGGGCTTTATTGTTTCTCACACTGCCTTTGCAGACTGTTCACATGCACAGAAACCTATATAACACAATTGAGGGAAGGGAAAACCCCAAAAAGCATAATAGCGCCTCTAAAAACACTACCAGAATAAAATAAAAACATGATGTGTCTCTCAGTTTCACATTACCCACATTGTAAGTTTTTTATTTGTTTTATTTAGGGGGGAAATACTACAAGAAACGTGGTCATAGTTTTGACTTTCTATATTTGAGACAATTCTTTTATCAATATGTTGTGTTAGAATCTAGCTGGTCACGCCAAAAAATAAGCGAAAACAGAAAGCAGTTTGGCTGCACCATGTAGGAAAACAGAGACCTTATCGCAGAGGTTAGGGGTCAATATCCAGCCGGCGGGAAATCGCTGCGTGTCTTCAGCTCTCTCTTGTCCCTGGCTTTCCTGTTTATCTCCAAGCTCTAATGAGATAATAAAGTCAATGCTGAAAAAGTACCTTAAGAAAAAAGGAGTAAGATTGTAAAAAAAAAAAAAAGGGAACAAGGGGGACTAAATAAAGGGAAAACTACAGAGACCGTGAAAGAGGGTTGGAGCTTTCAAATCAAAAAGGGAGAAGGTCACAGGTGTTTTATGGCGACACCTCCAAGAGAAACAAAGGTTTCATCTCTCCTTTAAAGCTCTGGCCAGAGAAAGAAGATCACGTCCATTAATTCTTCCTCTGACACAGCAGCCCTGCTCTGCCTAATAAAAGCTCCTGGAGAGGGTGGGATGTGCGCTGAATATTTAACTAAACATGCCAATCCCGCTGAAGTTTTGTTTGTGTGTGTGTGTGTGTGTGTGTGTGTGTGTGTGTGTGTGTGTGTGTGTGTGTGTGTGTGTGTGTGTGTGTGTGTGTGTGTGTGTGTGTGTGTGTGTGTGTGTGTGTGTGTGTGTGTGTGTGTGTGTGTGTGTGTGTGTGTGTGTGTGTGTGTGTGTGTGTGTGTGTGTGTGGGGGTGGGGGTGGGGTGGGTGGGTGTGCAGTACGAGTGGTTCTCACATGCAAAAGGTCAAAATAATAATAACTCATAAATTAGTTGCCTTTTACATTAAATGGTAAGAAAATGTTGTCTTCTTTTCACATGTTCTGGTTGATATGTGTATCGAGTGCAGAGGTTGGCTTAAAAATGCTTCTGTTTAGGAAAGTTCTAAAAAAGACTAATCTTCTTTCCTTGGTTCCTCAAATCTCTTGTTTGTTTTTTTAAATCTCCAGTTCATGCATTAGTCTTTGTTTTGTGTGATAACACCAGCTTGTTATCTCAGTTTACTTTTACTGTATGTGTTTGTTCAAATATGTAATTGAATGTTCTATATTGCGCACAGATGTCATTATTCTTGCACATTTGTTCCCAATTGAATCACCTTACATTTGAATTGCCTCCACTAGCACACACGCTATTATAGTGACATCTTTGATTTCTTTTTTCAAAACCCTGAGAGACATGTGTACTGTTTAATTGTGATAATGGGCTATATGAATACAATTTGATTGATTGGTTATAGGACATGAAAAAGGGGTATTCCGCATTAATTTCTTCTAAGCCACTACCTCCTAACTGTATATAAATCTCTCTGAATTAAAGACCAACACATACATTGTCAGTAAAACACGTCTTTTATCTGTGTCCACCAGCATCAAGTGGGTAAAGAGTACCACGACCGAGGGCCGCGCATCAACCTGACCTTCAGAACCATGTTCCCCGAGCCGGAGGGCCGCAAGCCGGGGACCAAGCTGAGATTCACACCCAACCAACCATAGATAGTCAGGTACTAAAGGCTGCGGGAACTGTCTTAGAAGTTATTCTGCTAAAATACCGATCCTCACAATTCTAGATCAGATGCAGTGTGAACAAGACTTGCATCTCATGAAGGATGGAGAGATGTTGTAGTGTGTGAACGTCTCTGTCCCTCTCAGTGAGCTTGAATCAAGTCTTGTAAACACATTTCTGAGTTACTGTATGACTAAGAGTTTAAACGGGATTTGCATAATTGAACTCTAATAACACTGCAGTCGTGACCAGTGTTTTCTTTGTCGGATATGAGCGTATTCAAGGAAGCTAAGCAGGTCAATTGGTGATAATGAAGGTCTACAGACTGGATACAATGTCCGCTTTGCATATAACTTTATTTATTTGTTCAGCACAGACGGTTGTTTCTGTTTAAGTAATTTGATCAAATCTTTGGTTAGTTCGCCAGACTTTAATTCGGACCCAAATGACTTGCTCATGTCTTTGACAAAGTGTCCCACTGACTGCACAGAAAGTCACTGTTGAACTCAAATGTAAAACACTTCCTGCTTTGTTTATCTTCAGGACCTTTTGGCGGAGAACATAGTTGCTATTAAAAGGGAAGGAACAAGAAAAGTGGCCTCTTAAGGCAATTAAAACTCCATCACGACTGGAATGAGTTAATTGTACTGTTGAACACGATTTGTCCCTCAAAGAGGTAATTCAGGTTTTCTGTAACCCCTCATGTATATTTTGAATGATCTTAAAGTGTCATAATGTTAAAGAGAACACAATATACAGAATACAATGTGACTTTATAATAGTAAAGGCAAACTATTGTGTATGAAATGTATACTTAAAGACATGAAACAATGGATAACCAGTCCAAATACATGCCTACAGTAATGTATGCCTTCTAACTAAATAAAGAAGGCTTTGCATATACTACCATCAACCTAGTGACATGTTAACTACTGTAGTAAAAGCACAGAAGAATCCCACAGCCATAAACCTGAAATAAACAACCTGAAATAAACATGATAAATTAACGGGAACTACTAGTGTTCTTGGCAAAGTCACCAACCCAGTTCAAATGTGAAGCGTTTAGTCACACATTCATAATTTGAGGTAAGGGCTTTTTGTTTTCTGGATAAGTTCCATGTGGATTTCGTTCAAGCATTAAATAACTATTGTAATAAAGAAAGCTAATTAAGTTCCTTTCCAATAGGACATTGTTATGGGAATTCAGGAAAGTATATTTTTAAGGGGGTAGATGTTGCTTTAACCGCCCACATGATGGGATATTCTGTTTGTTTTGTAACACTGAATAAATGCACCTTCTTGTTATTAGTTGCAAATAAAACAATTACTTCTCTGACATTTCTTCTATTGTGTCCTATATCCCAAAAAGTACATGTTGGTCAATTCAACATACATTGTTTAATATATAAAGTTGAATTCAAACCCCTACTTCTTATCACCTCTGTAATTGTATATGGCACAGGCAAGTTTAAGCGACATATTGTGTTATGAAAGGAAGTTTGTCGTGGAAATGTACAGCAATTCGAGCATAATGTTTGCAAAACACAAGGGTCAGTAAAAGGCTCTTTAAGACTAGACCTTTTGTTGTCACTATACACAAAACATGTGAGAAGGTTTTAATGAAAAAGAGTGTTTGATTATTATATATTGTGTTTTTAATTAAATCGTGTCCCTTTGTAATGTTAAGGTGAACTAATATACTGACAAAATATACATTTGGAGATGTTAAACTCACTTTCAGACACGCATGCACTCTTAAAAAAGACACATGCGTGATGTCAAGACAGTGTTGGGTCAGGTCATCTGTAGCATTGACTGTCATTCAGTACGCAGTGTGGAAACACAACAGAATTATAAGAATGTGTTTCCATTGTTCGCCTTGAGCTTCACTTTTGCAGATAATTAACTGTGCTGTTTTCGTAATTGAGGATCACACTCGTCAGGTGACTCTTGGTGTTATATTAAGTGATTAGGTATCAAGGGTTTCTTTAGGCCAATGTTCCACTTCCACAATGTTCCACTTCTCAAACTGGAAACTATACTGGTGGAAACTATCCATGGGAATGAACAGGACTTTATTGGAATAAACAAGAACAGAATATAGGAGCTTTTTGCTCAGGCTATATGAGATGTGCAGATAGAAAACAAGCCTTATATCATAAGCAGACACAATCAATTCATTTGTATTAAAAAAAATGTAATGTTACACTGTACTTAACCCTTGCAACCCTCGTACTATACCCACTTTTTTTTGTTCAACATGGGAGGAATTTTCTACTTTTGCAATGACCAATTATTGTCTGGAACCAGGAAAAGTTGATAGTATAGGGAATTAACGGCACATACCATACGATTTAAAACCTCAAAAGGGTCGATTTAAGTAACTCCGTAAGTTTACACACCTTGTTTGTACACTTTACACTGACAAGACTTTGTAAATGACATGAGTACATTCAGCACTAACCACCGGTACCGAAGTGGGCCGTGACAACAACTTCCTGATCATCACCTGACTTACTTTGGTCTTCTGAAGTCTGACGTGCCCAACATAATCTTTTCCCGAGATTCCAGACAATAAGAATCATAAACCCAACACCCACTCCTCCATTAGGACTGAGCAAACAGCTTGTTAGCGTGTGAGTGTGATGTGGGCATGTGTGCGAGCGTGCGCTAATGAGGGCGACCCGCAGTGTGTGCAGCAGGTTGTGTAACAGGTTGTAGTACTTTGTTGTTGCAGTGGAGGAGAGAAATGAGCCACGCTGTGCCCGACGTTCACTGGCTCCTTGATGCTGGGCCTCCTGAGGCTCAGATTGGGACATTTTGTACCGAAAGAGAACACCACTCCACTGATTCGCTCCGTGCTGAACATTTTAATTTGATTCGGGACATAGCCTTATGTTCAAGACATCGGGGCTAGTGCTTTTGCTTTTATGGGAAAAATGCTCTGTTGCAAATTGGCACCTGCTCACTAATACAGGTTGTTCTGGTAAATGGCGTGGTGTGGAGACTCATAATCAGAACAATTGAAGTGGAAATAGGAAGAAGAAAACGGCATGTCCTTTAAAATCTGGTTGTTAATTGTGAACCTACAGCCTTAATTGTTCCTCAAACGAGACACAGTGATTGAAAACATTGCAGCATGCTGTTTATTTATATTAAAGGTAGTTAATTTTTGAGAAACCAGCTCGAGATCGCTAGAATTTGAAAATACACAACCGGAGAAAATCTGCCACTTCCTTAGAGAGCCCCTCCTCCAACACACACGAACGCGCACATGACCAATGAGGGCACGAGATAAGTTTGTGCACAGATGGAAGGCTGACAGGCAGGTAGGCCATCCAGTTATTTTAGCCGGGCCGGCTCAGATGATTGGTCGTGCTTTTTACAGTACTACGGCTTCCACAGATGACATTTTTTTATGGATTTTTTGTCAAAGCACTTAAGATATTCATTGCTATCGGGATGTTAAGAGCATTCCATGGAATATAACAAAAAGTGTATCTCGAGCCGGTTTCTCAAACTTACCTACCCCACCTTTAACTGTCATTTAATTTGCAATAACATTAAGTTCTTTTTATGGAAATGTTTGGTTAATTCTTTTCTGGTTTTAGCTGCTGTTTTTTCATCAATATATTATAGTTCTCAGATATATACAAAACATGTCTCTGAAGTGTTTGGCTCCAAACACCAAACAGATCATTGCAGCATCCCATAATCCCCTCTGTTTCAGCCATGTTTCAAAAGTGCTGATTCTCTGTCTGTTACTTTAGATGAAAATAAGGAGCCCCTCCCCACTCCCCTCTGAGAGAGATTTGGTTAAAAAGAACACAATGGTGCTCTAGGAGGAGATTCAGGTGATAAGGTGGGGGGGGGGGGGGGGGGGGGTACCTTGGTTGGTGATTGGCTAATGGTTACACAAGCCAAAAAACCGTGGCCAAAATCTGATCAGCTCATTTTCAAGACAGGTTTTTATATAAATGGATCAGGACAATCTTTGAGAGAGAATCTTTTTTCCTGAAACGTTCAGAGTCTCTTTCCACAGAGGGGACACATGTTGATGTAGAAGAGACATGAAGAAGAGGGTTTTGCATAATAGGTGACCTTTAAGTTGAATTTGCTATTAAAGCTGCAGAATGCCTAAGTGCAAAATGCTAACACACATTTAGCCTTACTTAAATAACAAACAAAACACCTGATCTGTATGGGGCCACCTTGTTTCCCGCTACAGTTTCAGAATTAGACCCCGTCTTCCTGTATCTGCAGCACTTCCCCAGCTCAGTCTTGTTGATGTTTTCCACTCTGCCTGGAAAGGAACTTGGCGTGTGACTCGATAGCTAGCTAACAAGCTGCCTGCATTCCTGTGTTAGCCCCTGCTTGCTGGTTTCCGATCCCCACACCTGTTGTGCAGAGCTGGAAACATTTGGGTTTGGATTTACGGGAGCTGTGGTTGCTGCTAACTCCTTTTTGGCTTTAGTTGGAGCCACCGTATGGATCACAGCTGATTAGGCCGTGGTCCAGAGTATTCCTGTCCTTCTGTTTACTAGCTGATCTCTAGCCAGTCTGGTCAAACATCAGCAGACAGTGAAACGTGAAATCATATATCAAGTTTCACTACAGGGCTTTAGATAGGTTTCAATGCAGGACATTTACATTTTTAGTACTAGTACTCAAAAATGAGCATTGACAGGATCTAAATATTTCCTCCAGCACTGACCATGACAGTGTTACAAGTTATTATTAGCTACGAATTGACCTGCATATTTATTCTTAATTAATGCCCCAGCTGTTTTAGCCTATTCTTAAATATGGCACCGTTTTTGTTAAACATACTATCAAATTAAAACGGCACGTCTTCCGTCAAGGCTGTATTCAAGTACTCCTTTGATGCTCTCGTTTCCTGATTGGAAAGTAGTTTTTTCCGCTTTGGTGTGGTGCTTTGAGGAAACAACATGGATGCTACAAAGATGTACAAGAAACACGTTGATAGCTGAGTTTCCGAGTTATTGTTATGACTTTAGGGGACGTTCACTTGTTTTCTTCCAGTCGGGAACTTTTAATGCCACTTTTATACAGTTCAAAAGCATTAGCAATTACTGAAGTTTGTTTTCCTCTGAAGGTTTTCAACTTTACTGCAAGTGTCAGTCCAAATCATGCTTTATTGTGGAGAAGCTGCAGGTGCTGGAACAGTAATACATTTGTTCATTGCAGCGAAATCATGCCTTCCTTTGTAGAGCTAAACCCTAAAGTGTATCACAACAAGAACAACAAGGTGTGTGTGTGTGTGTGTGTGTGTGTGTGTGTGTGTGTGTGTGTGTGTGTGTGTGTGTGTGTGTGTGTGTGTGTGTGTGTGTGTGTGTGTGTGTGTGTGTGTGTGTGTGTGTGTGTGTGTGTGTGTGTGTGTGTGTGTGTGTGTGTGTGTGTGTGTGTGTGTGTGTGTGTGTGTGTGTGTGTGTGTGTGTGTGTGTGTGTGTGTGTGTGTGTGTGTGTGTGTGTGTGTCACACTGTGATTTGTTGGGAAGCTACTCTGGGAACGAGTTGACCGATTCACTTCAAGCTCCTCTCCTCTCCTCTCTCCTCCCCTCCACCGGGCTTCATGACTTTAGTTCTCTCTCCTCTACTGTGCCTCCTCCTCCTCTTCATCATCACCTTTCCATCCCTGTCTTCTATCACCTTTTCAAGTCAAGTTGTCGCTTGGGTCATCTTGCAGCAGCCTCTCTCTGGTCCAACCTAACTCTAAATGTTTAGACTTGCGTTTAGCTGCTGGGCTTCAGATGCATGTCAGTCTATTGCTGATAATAACATTGTTTCTTAGGACAAAGAGTTGCAAGCTTTTCTTCCTCCTCCCTTCCAGCCATCAATCCTCCGTCCTCTTCTCAGCCTTTTGTACAAGTTGGAAGTAAACAGGTTTACCTTTGAACACATGTGCCTTTATATAACCTTCAAAGATAGCCTGTTTTGTACATTAGGTGTGCTTTGCTACATCAAACATATCACTCTATTTGGAATATCTGCTGTTGCTGTTTTCTTTTTTAAAGGAATGTTCTGGGGTCAAACTAACAAGCTTTACATGAATCTTTCCTGTTCCTTTTTTGGTGCAAAGCAGTAGCATTTGTACAGTATGTGTCAATCCTTCATATTTGTATTTGAATGCCTTGTTCTAATTTTGGATTTGATGGAAAACGCAGCCACAGTTGGTCTCTCCCACAGATTTGGGATCCGCCCCCTGACCTGTGAGGTCACGTCTTTCCTGTGTGACTTCAAGCGGGCTGTCAGTAACCTCTCGCACTCAGACACGTCACGAGTGGCATCCTGATACATAACAGCTGATTGTAATGCAC